TTTTTTTTTTTTTTTTTTTTTTTGGTGGTGGTGGTGATGGGGATCAAACCCAGGGCCTTATGCCTGCTAAGTACATTGTTGCTACTGAGCTACACCCCAATTCCCATTCTAAGACTTTTAAATCTTCAACAGCCAGGGAGCACCTTTTAGTCCTACAAACACCCCTGTGAAGTAGGCAGTATTTATTTATTTTTGTGGTATTGAGAATCGAACCCTGGGCTTCATAAATGCTAAGCAAGCACTCTACCACTGAGCTACATTCTCAGCCTAATAATATGTAGTTTTAGCAGCTCAAATATTACTAGAACAATAGCTAACATTTAGGGAGCTCGTCTACCCGCTGGCCGCTCTTCAGTGTAGCTTGTCACCAGCCCTCGTGACAAGGCAATAAAATATGTATACTCTTTTTTGATTTGTTGTTTTGGGGATACTGGGGACTAAACCCAGGGCTTTGGCACTGAGCTACCTGCCCAGTTTTTTTGTTTGTTTATTTGTTTTAATTGTTGTTGTGTTTTTGAGACAAGTTCTGGCTAAATTACCCAGCTGGACTTGAACTTGTGATCCTCTTGCCTCAGCCTCTCAGAGTCCCTGGGATTACAGGCAAGTGCCACCACGCCCAGCTGGCTAGGTTCTACTGCTATTAACTTCCTTTACAGATAGGAGAAGAGGCCAGGGAGCTCTAGGGGCGGGGCTCACCGTCATCATGTCATCACACTTCATGTCCGGCTCGTCCTCATCCTCGCTCTTGTTGTAGAACTTGCGGAAGAAGTTGAAGGCCACCACAGTGTAGAGGTAGACCACCACAGCCAGGAGGCCCACCGTCATCACCAGCTGTGAGCAGGCAGAGGTGCGTCAGCTCTGGCTTTGTTTTGTTTTTTGTTGTTGATACTAGAGATCGAATGTGGGACCTTCGCCCTGAGCCATAGTCCCAGCCTTTTAAAATATTTTATTTTGTGACAGACAGGGTCTTGCCCAGTCACTAGGCTGCCTGGGCTGGGCTTGAATTGCCATCTTCCTGCCGCAGCCTCTGAGAATGCTGGGACTACAGCTGTGCAACGCCAAGACCAGCTCCCTTCCGGGTCCTTACCCCACTTGGTCCGCAGGGCCCTTGCCCTGTCCTCACTGCCCACGCACCCTGGCACAGCCCCCTGGCCTTGCCCCAGCTGCTTGGTGCCAGGTGCCCTCCACACCTGCTTCCCATTGTGGGTGACAGACGAGAGGATGGTGCGAAGTGTCTTGACACCCATGGCAATGTCCAGGAGGTGGGCAGCGAAGAAGAAGTTGTTGTAGTGTCCCAGGAGAGACATCACCATGTACCAGCCCAGGTACAGGAAAGACTGTGGGCACACAGGGGCCAGGGTCAGAGATACACAGGGACACACCCGGAGCTCCCGGGGCCAGCTGCCATCTCTGGATCAGGCGTCTGTGGTGGATGGGAGCACCCTGGGGGAATGGGGAGCACGTTGGGGGAGCTGGGGAGCCCTAGAAGCAACTAGCCTGGGAATCCAGCAGTGCCCTGAGCTATCAAAGGATGTCCTGGGGGACTAAGAACCTCGGGAGTGAGAAGGTGCTCTAGGGTCCCAGGTACGCAGGGGCTCAGGAGTCGCTCTTCAGCCAGGGGCCCCTGGGGTTGGAGGCCGACTCCTAAGGCCCTACCCTCCTGAGTCCCTCCCACCTATGGGCCCTCCTCACATTGTCTG